ACACACACACACACACACACACACACACACACACACACACACACACCAAGGCTTACCTTTCTTTTATCTTCATCTGTTGATTCAAATTTGAAAGTAGCCCTATGCTGAAGGGGGAAAAAAGGGAAACAATGTCATTTTATATACATGGATTTTTAAAGTTTGGCTATGTTTAAAAATATCTAATATAATGTCCTCATAAAAATGTTGCCTTCCGGTATCTCAATATTCTTATTAAAGTAAGAGATAGGCATGTAAACAAATAATTATAAGGCAGTGTGAAAAGACTGCAGCAGAAATATAGATAAAAGAGTACAGTGAACCAAGCCACTAACTGCCCAGCACAATCTGGAATGGCTTTCACAGAATACAGAGCATTTTGCACTGGATCTTGAGGGATAAACAGGAGTATGCCAGAGGCAAACGGAATGCATTCCAGGAACAAAAACAAAGGCTCGAATGTATGAAAACTATATGATATATTTGTGAAATAAGCAACTTTGTGAGACCAGAACACAGGACATATGTTTGGGAGTGGGGCATGGAGGAAGATGAGAATGGAAATGTAGACTGGACAGTGATTTGGAAGGGCTTTCCAATGTTGCTGAGTTTATACTTTTTTTTCATATGCAATAAGAAATCATCAGAGAATTGTGGTTAGGGAAGCTTGATAATTTGATATTTCAGAAAAGTAATTCAATAAGAATAAGAGTTTAAATCATGGTGGCTCCACCACTTACTAGCTGTGACCTTGAGCAAATAAACTCTCTGGAACTGGGCTTCTCACCCAAAAACAGGGTATACCTAGTTCACAGAGTGATTGTGACAGTTAAAAAAGCTAAGGCATATATATAAAGCACAATCTCAGTGCTGGCAAGTAGTAATACTCAGTAAATATCAGGGTTATAATAATGATGATGCCAATGATTATGAGGAAAAAATAATTGGAAAGGCAGGGAGTGTCATGACTCTTCTGCGATGATCAGCAATACTATGTTTTCCACTCTGTAGCTGAAGTGGAAGAGAATAGAAGACAAAATAAGTTTGCTTGCCCATGATCACAGAAAGAATGGAAGTACGCCAAAAATAGAGCACAGAATTCCTCATTCTCCCCCGAAGTTTTATTCAAGAGAACCAAGTGCTCTTAAGAATTCTAAGCCTTCCTATTAAAAAAAAAATCTCCACTGAAGATTTTTCTTTTTCTTTTTTCTTTCTTTCGTTGGCCACTGTGACAAATACTTATTGGCAATCCACCAAGAATGAAGTACTAAAGATACTAAAGTACTAAAGATAGCATCATTACAGGTGGTTCTGCGTTGACATCGTTGTAGAAGCAGCAATTTTTGAAATTAAAGAAGACAGCGGGCCGGGCGCGGTGGCTCACGCCTGTAATCCCAGCACTTTGGGAGGCCGAGGTGGGCGGATCACGAGGTCAAGAGATCGAGACCATTCTTGCCATGATGAAACCCCATCTCTACTAAAAATACAAAAATTAGCCGGGTGTGGTGGCACGCGCCTGTAGTCCCAGCTACTCGGGAGGCTGAGACAGAAGAGTCGCTTGAACCCAGGAGGCGGAGGTTGCAGTGAGCCGAGATTGCGCCACTGTACTCCAGCCTGGCGGCAGAGCAAGACTCCGGCTCAAAAAAAAAAAAAAAAAAAAAAAAAAAAAAGACAGCGAAATGCTGGCAGAGAAGTTCTGAATGTGAGAAATGGTCAGATTGAAGACTCAGAGGTAGGAGACAGTGGCCATCTGAAGGAGGGAGGCTGCCTCTAATATGGATGCAAAACAATTTTTTTTAAAAAGATATAGATTTTAAAATTTATACCTGAATTGGCAAATAGGTGACAGGCAACCAGAGGAAGACTATGACGGAGGTGTGACCAGCATTCTGGAAGAACATTTTGGGCAGTAGCTCACAGGTCAGATTAAAGGAGACCAAGACTAAGAACATAACACCCTGTGAGGAATGGACATCAATAATCCAGGCATGATACTCCTGGTGGCAGTATAAACTGACATAAACCTTAAAAGAGAAAGTGATTTGGCAACAACATATACTAGAAGCCATAAAAATATTCATACCCTTTGACCCAGAACTCCTACTCCTACGAATTTATCCTAACGATCATCTGGAAGGAGAGAATAATTATGTGTGCCAGTATCACTGCAGTATTATCCAATATTGTGGAGGAAAAAAGTGAGAACTGGAAATAACCAACAGGGGACTGATGGAATGCTGTGCATGTGACAATATTCTATCATACATATCAGATTCGCGTGACAATATTATGTAGCAATTTTTAAAAAAGAAAACTCATTGTTGGTATATTATTTTCATAATAAAAAAGAAATTTTAAAAATGAATAATGAATAAAGAATAAGAAGGAAGGAAGAGAGGAAAGACTGTAAATCTGAGGGCTATACTTAGAAATGTATTGACCTGAGGTTTAGTGAAAATTAACGTTAGACTTAAAAGTGGCAGATATCAGGTTAAAGTTATAAACTAAAGCTCTGTAAAGGTTCAATACAAATGAAAATAACTGCACTAAGAAACCAAGAAAATCTATTTTTTTGCCATTATATGTGAAATACTAATTTCATAAATTATCTGGAATAAATGTACCTACTTGTTAATATAATGGTTCTTCTAAACTTTTTTTTTGGCATTTATGGTAAGGGGACAGAAAAATAATTTGTCTTTCGGACAGATACTCAATAAGTTTTTAAAATGTCTTTTAAACAGCTCCTATGTAGAACTAATCTTTTAAGATAGGAATTCAGAATAGTACCAAGGTCTAATTATTCTGTTGCTCTTAATTAGAAAATATAATGGTATGTGAGGCACTACAAATTGAATCTGGAATGTGCCAATCTATTCAGAAGCTCAAGCCACTAAGACTGGATCCAACAGATGTTGGCTTCTTTAAAGCTGGGTTCTTTTATCCAACTTAGATCATACTTAACTTATTCAGTAACCCTATCTATATTCTCCCCTTTCTAAGTCTGAAATCGGGAAAAATGGAACAAGCATTTCCAGCTGTACATATATTTCTGTTAAAACTGTTAGCCAACAGTCAGCTATCTCATCTTCTTTATATACATAATTTCCATAGAAACAGGAGGAAAAAATCAAATATAAAGTTAAACTGGTCGGGCACAGTGGCTCACACCTGTAATCCTAGCACTTTGGGAGGCAGAGGTGGACAGAGGGCTTGAGCACAGGAGTTTGAGACCAGCCTTAGTGACACGGTAAAATTCCACCTCAAAAAAAAAAAAAAAAAAAATAGTTAAACCATTGTTCAATTTACATACCAAGCAAGCTAAACAGCCCAGTGACACACCAGACTCATTATGAGGACTCCTCACTGCAGGTTTCACACCCTATGAATAAGCTCTAAAAAGCTCAGGATCAGGAGTCAGACAACCCTGAGTTTGAGTCCAGTCTTCCTGCTTACTAAAAGTATAAACCTGGTCAAGTTATTCAACTTCACTACCTATCAAATTTCCTTATCTTTATATAAGCATGGAACCTTGCACATAGTAGTGTTCAATGGCCACTACTGTTATTGCTGAATAACCAATGGTGTGGTATCTGGCCAAATATTGAACTATGAGAGAGATAGGAGTAATTTCATAGCTTTCTAAAGATACACTCAAACAGCACTACTACAAGGGAATAAACCCAGTTGGGGTGGTGTATGTGGTGGTTTCATGAACAGAGATGGCTTCTACAACTAAAAATCAGTAACAGATTATATAACATAAACTGGAAATAAGAACAAAGTATAACAAAGGAACTGCCCACTAAACATGCTTCTCTGCAAAAACCCACAGAGTAAACTCAAAGAGTCAAGAGCCCAACTTCCAAAGTAGAAAACAAAAAGTCCTCTTACATAGTCCTGGATACTTATTCTATTCAAATGTAGAAGCTATGTTTATAGGACTGTTCCAGTATTAGGTCTCTGTCAATCAGGTTCTTCTAGCACATAAATGAAGACCTCACTGCTAGCAGTCTTGTTTTCTTCTCCTATGAGGACTACTCCTAGAGACTTACCTACCTGTCACCTTAAATACCTTTCATTTAGCCAAAAGCTTGCCATACTTTGAAACCGGAATCCTGTTGAAACTTGCTATGGGGTAGTAATATGTCCAGGTGGCCTATATGGCCACCAAGCCACCTCTCTGGTTATCATCATACTTGATGAGTCACCTATTAAATGAGGGGGTTGGGTTCAATTATTTTTGAGGTTCCTCTAGCATAACTGTCCTGTGATATAAGAAATCACGATACTACTCTATACCTCAGGGCCCTTAGTCACTGTTTGTTATTGATAATCATGATAATGGTGGCAACTAATCTCTCTACTAAATCTGTTATTAGAAAAGGCCTGAGGGCTGGGCACTGTTCCTCACACCTATAATCTCAGCACTTTGGGAAGCTGAGGACTAGGAATTCAAGACCAGCCTCCAGCCTAGGCACATGGTGAGACCCCAATCTCTACCAAAAAACAAAAACAACAACAACAAAAAAAAAACAGGCCTGAGCGGGAGCAAGAGCTTAAACAGTCTAACAGTCTAGACTAGAATGATACATACTTCCCCAAGTTAACAGTTCATTCTATTATTCAAGCGGAGGTGATTAGGACCCAACAGTAGCCAAAGGATTCTGCATCTGTGGATTCAACCAAACATGGCTTGAAAACATCTGGGAAAAAAAAAAAATTGTGTCTGTGTTGAACAAGTGCAGGCTTTTTTTTCTTGGCATTATTCCCTAACTAATACAATACAACTATTTGTATTGCAATCACATTGTATTAGGTATTACAAGTAATCCAGAGATGATTTAAAGTATACAGGAGGGGCTGGGCACTGTGGCTCACACCTGTAATCCCAGCATTGGGAGGCCGAGGCAGGCAGATCACTTGAGGTCAGGAGTTCACGACAAGCCTGGTCTACATGGTGAAACCCTGTCTCCACTAAAAATACAAAAATTAGCCAGGCACGGCGGGGCGCACCTGTAATCCCAGCTACTCAGGAAGCTGAGGCAGGAGAATTGCTTGAACCAGGGAGACAGAGGTTGCAGTGAGCTGACATCGAGCCACTGCACTCGTAGCCTGGGCAACAGAGCAAGACTCTATCTCAAAAAAAAAAAAAAAAAGTAAATATGAGGATGTGCCCAGATTATATGCAAGTACTATTCTGTTTCCTATCAGGGACTAAAGCATTTGAAGATTTTGGTATCCACAGATTCTGGTATCCACAGGAGATCCTGCAAGCAATTCCCTTTGGATTCTGAGAAATAAGTGTAGTATACTGCTCCTGAAAAAGAAACTTTTTCTGTGTTCAGAAACACAGAAGAGACAGGGTAAAGGCAACATACCCCCTGCAAAAAGATCCCTGGATATTAAATCTGAAGACCAGGCCACCATTTCCTACCTCTGTGACCTTGAGCCTATATATAGAATACTTCCATCTCCCTCATAAGTTTTAATATGAGAGGATTATGCAAGAGGAATTAATAAAAGATGACATACAAAATGTGAAAGTGCTTGCAATAATACATAGTACATAGCAGGCACTCAATAAATGTTAACAGGTGAACTGAGAGGAGACAAAAACAATCGCTCTTCCCATTTAAAAAAAAAAAAAAAAAAAAAAGGCCTGGAGCAGTGGCTCATGCCTGTAATCCCAGCACTCTGGGAGGCCAAGGTTTGCGGGGGGAATCACAAGGTTAGGTGTTTCAGACCAACTGGTGAAACCCCTTGTCTACTAAAAAAATACAAAAATTAGCCAGGCATGGTGGCGTGCACCTGTAATTCCAGCTACTCAAGAGGCTGAGGCAGGAGAATTGCCTGAACCCAGAGGGTGGAGGTTGCAGCGAGTCGAGATAGTGCCACTGCACTCCAGCCTGAGTGACAGAGCAAGACTCCATCTCCAAAAAAAAGAAAAAACAAAAATAAAAACAAAGAATTTGCCTATGCTGAGTCCTACACTGCGTTATGCCCTTGACAAACAGACAAGTTTCATTCTTTCTGGGATAGATAGATCTTTCCTCTCCCCAAGATAAAAAAGGTCAGTGAATGAAGCAAGAAGGCTTGGAAATGAGAATCTATATAAAACAGTAGAAACAGATGTTTCCTGGAGTCAGACAGGTATCTCTCAAAGTGGTACAAGGTATTTTGCTATCCATTATAAAAAGAAAGGGAAGAATGGAGCATAGTCCCAGATTTTAATATTGTGCTATACCAACTCACGCCACATATTTAATTTTTGTTTTTGTTCAAAGCTAACAGTTACGGGGTGCCTCCTCAGCGTCAGGCACTGTTCTACGTGCTTTATACATGTAACTCATTTAATCCTAACAAGCCTATGATATAGTTACTATTATTATCTCCCTTTGGCAGATGAGGAAACTAAGCCACAGCAAAGTTAAGTAACTTGTGTTAGGGCCACACAAGCCATTAAGTTGAGGATCAGAGGCCAGGCTAGCTCCAGAACCTGTGCTCTGGCCACACGACCTCTTAGGTACCCTGGCCATTGTAACTGTAACTTACTGAGCGAGTACTTCCTAGGCGCATTGTGCCCAGTGCTAGCATTGTATTTCACTTAGTGTAATCTTCGAAATAATTTAAGAGAATGGTGATATTATTCCTATTTTATAGATAAGGCAACTGAGACACAGAGGCTTAATATAATTATCCATAGTCATGAAGCTAATAAATGGCAGAGTTGGGATTTGATGCCAAATCCCATTACCTTTCCACTATACCTGACTGCCTCCTTTCAAGGACTAGTTTTATCAGAGAAATAAGGTGGCATAAAGAACCTCCCCACTACTCTCCCAAACAATGAACCAGTCTCTCTCTCTCTCCATCATTCATTTCTCTCTATTGGACTCCTCAATGCCCCATAATCACCTCATAATCCAAATATTTCTCAAATCAGTGTTTCCAGATAAGGAAACGGAAGTATATGGTACCTAGCTATTTTTTTTTAGAGTTCCAAATTCCACATACCATAGAGCTGGGCAATTTAATTCCACCTCCCCATTCTTACTGCCTGAACCACTATAAACATACATCTACTTTCTATTCATCTGCTCCCAAAATCTCTCCCTTTGACAGGCAAAACCTCACTGCAATATGATGGTCAGTCATTTTCTTTGTACTATAAGCAGCCCTACTATACTGGCCCTACTACAGTCAGTATTAAATATGAAAGCTTTCTGGCCAGGCACAGTGGTTCACACCTATAATCCCAGCATTTTGGGAGGCCAAGGTCAGAGGATTGCTTGAGCCTAGCAGTTTGAGAGCAGCCTGGGCAACATAGTGAGACCCCATCTTTATAAAAAATAAATTTAACAGTTACCCAGGTTCTGTGGCACACACCTGTAGGCCCAACTACTTGGGAGGGGTGGGGGGAGGAGATGGAAGTTGCAGTGAATCATGATTGCACCAGTGCACTCCAGCCTGGGCGACAAATACAGACCCTGCCTCCAAAAAGATAAAATAAAAGAAAGAAAAAGAAGAGAGCACTTTCTTCTGAAAGAGCTAACTGCCCCAGTTCACATCTAGTCAGAGCACTCTCAGGCTTCCTCCCAAAATTACAAGTGTTTGGGAATCTTTTGAAACACTTCAGGATACCACCTTAAGCAACGCACACACCATGCAAAACACCTTAAAAACATTCCCAATACAAAAGGAGATCTGGAGAAGTTCAGGATTTAAGCTCTGACAGCACCTGGCCAGGAGTGGTAAGCAGATACCAATCTGGAGGGAGACCAACAAGAGATAAATTGGAGGAAGCAAATCTGATGTCTATTTAGTTTAGCCATAAAGGGAAGGGGAAATATTAAAGAAGGTGATTATATTCAGTTGAAGGTCTTTCTTCCTCCCCTACAGAAACAAATTCCTATTAATTGCTGGGTATCTGGCATATAATAAATGCTAAATAAACATTGGCTGATTGAATAAATTGCCAAGTTCTCTTGCATTTCTTGCTTCTGAAAATCAGTTTGGAGCTGCCTCGTATCTTTTCTGGAAAGCAGTAATAAATCGGGTTAAATCATTATAATTTCCACAATATGCATTAAATGAGTTATTCCTAAATTAGGCAGACATGTTCAACAGTAAAGCATATCGGAAAGTGAAAGAGCTAAGATATGAATATATAGAACCTGTGTATCCTCCCAAGGAAAGCAACACAGTACTGTAGAAAGAGCGCTGTACTTGGAGTTGGACAACCTAAATTCAAATCTCTGCTCCATCTCTCAGTAGCTGTGTGGACTTGGGACCACATTATTATCCTAAATTTTATCATTTGTGAATTGGGGAATACCATCACTCTCCTCACAGGCTTGTTGGTAAGATTAAATGGGAATTAAGCCGCCAGTATGCCATTTCTGCCCTGGGTAGAAAAGATTCAAAAAATAAGACACAAATTGTCAATAATACAAAGTGTATGGATGCAGTGGTGGGCACAAAGCAAACACTGAAGGGGAGATTATGTACGGAGGCAAAAGAAAGAAAAACATTACAGCTAGGTTGTGACTTGGTGTTGGGTGTGTTTCACAGAAGGGAGTCTTCTAAACCAAAGGATAAAGGTGTGGTAGGCTATCTTTTGAAGTGAGCATGTAAAATTCCTGGAAGGAAAAGTAATGAAGAGCTAACGGTTCTTGGAAAGAGATTCAGAGAACTGACGGATTTATAACAAGATACTCTTTTACAGCAGTTGTAAAGTGGAAGGAACTAAACTGGAATACGAGCTCCAAGCATGACCTTGGGCAAGTTATTTAACCAATCTAAAGTCTCAATTGCAAAATGTAGATAATACCTCACGGAATTGCTCTAAGATTAAATGAGATAATGGACAGCAAAGCTGTTAATGCGATACGAATAATAGGTATCATTAGGAGTTATATTCTCCACCCACTTACAACATAATACGTCCATGACCTTGGGCGTGATTTCAGCTCTTTGCACCTCGGTTTCCTCATCTATAAAATGGGGAGGATGAGACCATCTACCCCATAAACACTATGAGGATCAAAGGAGACCATAGATGAAACAACAATGCCTCGAAAACCGTACCGTGATAAAGGTATAGAAAAAACTGCCACCGTCGCTATACATTTTATGCATGTCAAGGGATGTGTTTATGCAGGGAAGCACGTATTTTTATGCTATACAGGTGAGGAAGCCTCGCATGCATTTATGCATCCAGGAGTGTGGCATGGGGCACAGATGCACATCTACGGATTCCGGGGGTGTGACTTGCACGCTTGAGAGGAGGGCCGGAGGTCAAGCTGCTGGGCCAGGAATCAGGAGTGGGCGCTAGAGTGGGTGTAGTGGGATGCAGGATACACGGATGGAAAAGGCTGGGGGCACAAACACGCATGCCCAAGCCGGAAACGTTTTCGTGGAAGAGCAATGCGCATCCCCGGAATGAGGGGGGTGGGGAAGGATGCGATGTGCAAGCACGGAGGGCGGCCCGGGGGTGCGATATCGCACGCCCGGGGCCAGGACTCTTTACCTTGTCGCTGTAATCCCTCAGGACCCGCTCGATAGCCCCCGCTTCGCCGGCCCGGACGATGTAGAGGGCGCGCTCCTCATCCATGGCCGCAGGTGCGGGGGAGCCGCGGCCGCTCTGCGCGCCCAAGCCGCTGCCTCCAGGTAAACGCCTCGCGCCCCCGCTCGCTCGCTCCTTCCCAGCTTCCTTCCTTCCCTCTTTTCCCTCCCTCCCTCCTGCCTCCAACCCGCCAGCCTCCGCCCGGGCCGGCCGTACGTCACGCCCCTCAACTTTCACCCCGCGACGTCACCGCTCCCCCAGCAACCGGCGCCTCACGGCCGCCCCCGACCAGGCCCAGGACTAGGTCGAGGCCTGGCGAGCGGACCGAGGCGGGGTCAGGCTCGAAGCTCTGCTTGCTCTCCTGCCTCTCCCTCCCTCGGAAAAGTGTCTACTCTTTTGAGGGGGCTTTCACAGACTGAGCCGTTCTTTTCTGACCCTCCTCTATGAATCATTCTCGGCGGACAAGAGCAACCCTTCTCTTCTCCGCCCATCTATGAACCAGCAGCTAGATGGACTACAATTCCCTGCATGCAATGGGGTTATCCCGCTCTTCCATCTGATTTACTGGAGTGCCAATGGCATGCTGGGATTAGTAGTCATCCAGACGGAAAGACTTCCCTCCAAGGGCATGCTGGGAACTGTGGTACGGCGAGGGCCGGAAATGGGAGTCTGGCGGCCGCCTGAGGCCAGCGGCGGGGAGACCGTTAGAGGGAGGGTCTAAGCCTGTGCCTTGGTTTTGTTCCTTACGCTGCTGAATGTCCTGCTCCAGCCTCGGCTCGTTGGGCTGGCTGGACTGGCTGATGGTCGCGGAAACTGCCACCCCTTGGTGGGAACTGTCAAGCACCGGTTTAATTCCCTTTTCTCACTCAGCGGTTTCGGTCTCGGAAATTCCTTCCACTCTTGTTTGCATTCTTATTATGTACTCGGCTACAGTAACGTGGGAAATAATCTAAGGCAGTTATCTGGATAAAAGAGGACTTGGCGTTTTTGTTTTTTTTTTTGCCTTAATACTAATCTTTAGCATACATTTCGTGCATCGGGCTCCAGACTTTCTTAGGTAATTTCCCTATATTGTCCAATTCTCAACACAAATTTTTGTGAAAACAAAAAGGAACCCGAATAGTTTATCTTAAGTCATACGGCCAGGGAATGGGAAAGTCGTGGTTTGAAACCAGGCGTCCCCCATCCTCCATTCCCCACCCCCACCCCGAAGCGGCTGCTCTAAGACAAGGAATTGTAATAATACTGATACAGTAGCGGTGGTGGTGATGATAAAGGTTCTCATTGTCCCAGTGGTAATTACGTGCCAGGCGCTCTGTTAATACTTCACCTATGTTAGCTCAATCAACTTCATACACATTCATTCAACAAATATTTCAGAGCCTGTGCTGTGCCCAGGCACTGTTCGATGCAGTGTGGATACAGTGGGCCCAAAATAAAGTCCCTGCCTTCGTGGAGTTTCCATTATAGTGAGCACCCACATGAATTATTCTCATTAAGATGAAGAAACTAAGTCTTGGAGAGGTTAATTGGTTAATTTATAGAAATTGCAGATTTGTGGAAACTGAATTTGAACTCAGAGCCCGTTCTCCTTCTGCTCTCTCAAGCTTGAGTTGATGGAGAGTGGATGAATTCTCCAAGTAACTCCAAGTTTTTCATTCCAAGCAGCCTTTATCAGTAATCATCCTTGATGCCTCTCTTACCAGTCTCTCCTTCCTGAGCTGTGCTGAAGAGAAACTAGAAGGGGCAAAAGTTTATTCATCTAATAATTGAATTTCTTCTATGTTGCTAGATATTCTGCTAGATACTGGGAATTTGGAGATAAGAATAAATGGGACTTGAGTTTATGGATCTTTTGGTCTTTCTGTGGATTATACTTTCCATGCAGCAAACATTTATTGAGCATATTCGTTGAGTCAGGCATTGGAACAGGTGCTCTGTAATTAAGTCAGAAAGATTTTAATCCATCTCTCCAAAAAGCACATTTTAATAAGGTCTTGGAATAGTTAGCTGAATTCCTAAGGTAATAGTAACATCTTCCAATTGTTTTTAACAGTTTACAGAACATTTTAATACTCGTTATCTCAATGGATTATTGGGAAAGGTATTTTTCCTACTTTATAGATAAGAAAATAGGCTCAGACAAGTTAAGTAACAAGAACTGGGACTCAAACTGAGAGCTGTTAACAAAGTATTTGGGTACCTACTCTGTGTCCAGTACAGTATTAAGTGCTTTGGGGGTAACCATATATTTATTTTTGGAGCAAGGGTCTCCCAGAGAGGATATTAAACAAGCACAAAGTATTTTATTTCCGTAGAGACGTTTCTCTTTAGAATCCTTTTAGGTCTCTGACATTTCAGGCACATGTCTTTGAAATGTCTGTTTGCCAGAAATAGGCTATGTTTTTAGGCTCCAATTCTGTACTTCTAAAAAGAGATTTAAAAAATGTAAAACCACATGAATTAGCGACTTGAGAAGTTGTACTTTAGTAATTTTAATTAAATGTTAGTATTCTGATTTTATAACTCAAAGGAATCTTTGACTCTAATTCAAGTCATCTTTTGACCACTGACGAGACTCTGGTTCCAGAAAAATTAAGTGGCTTGTCCAAGGTCAATAGCTACAAGCAGACTCTGGGAATGGAGTCTAGACCAACTGAGTCGTAGGTTACTACATCACTTTACCTCCTTGAACATTAGTTATGGGATACTTTCAGGGACTAGAGACTCTAGTGCTGTTTCAACTCCACTTCCTGGTGATGCTTGGGTTGCATGATAGCAAGGAATTAAGATTTAGAGCCTTGGTAATCAAAGCAACAAATATTTATTCACGAGTTGTTGCTCTTAGAAACAGTAATATAGTAATCCTATACATATTTATGTACAGAGCTTTTAAATTCTGAAAATATCTCCATGTAGATTATTTGATTTAATTCTTGTAATAGCTGACATCGTAAGATCAATAAGACAGGCACGGTCTTCTTTTTTACAGAGAAAAGGGAAGTTCAGGGTATTGATTAGCTGGCTTGTAAACAAAGAAGTTTGCTAATAAGTGGTATGGTTAAGGGCTAGAAGTGCCCTGGCCTCTGATAACATAAAATGTTATGGACTTTCAGGTTAGGGCCAATGAAAAAGCCTGCAAATAGATACTAGTCATTTATTTTGGACTTTGATATCCTGCTGTGGCATTTCCTCTTGCCATGACAATGGGCTAGTTGGTATGTGCCAAATTGAAGGTCTTTAATGAGTACCTGGTGCTAACAGCTTTAAAATTCAACTGTTCCGTATGTAATACTTTTAATACATTTTCTTTAGAAGAAAGCAGAAATTTAAAGCCTTAGCATCTTGGTCTATTGGCTATAGCTCCAGAATTGGAGCTCAGAGAATTCCACTAATTCAAGATATGACTTGTCACTCAGCAACCACCACCTCACTATGTGAAGCCACTCACTCAACCTTTTTTGAGGTTTAGAAAATTAGAACTGAAATAATATCTGGATTAATCCCACAGTGTCCTTAGCTGCTAAACTAAGGGATTGATCTAGATATTATTTCAGTTCTAAATTTTTCAGTTCTAAAATTTTGTGATTCTCAGAAAAACAAAACCACCTTTAAATATGCTCATTCTTTAGAAAAACCTATTAATAAGAGTGGGGGTGTGAAAATCAATATGTGCAAATCAGATATCAGTATATGTGCAAATCATTCCTTGGGCATACCTCCAAAGATTCTGATTCAGTTGATCTGTGGTGAAGTCTGGATACTGGTAGTTTTAAAAGCTTCTCAGTTGATTTGAATAAGCACCCAGTTTTGAGAACCACTGGATCAATATTTTGGTAGAGTATCTACAATTGAACTGGTTTTTTGATAGACCCCCAAACTCATGTGCATGTAACTCATTAGTCTTTGAGAAGTAACCTGGCATTGTGAAAGCTATTTCATTTTTTACCAAGAATACAGTCTCAACCAGGTGCCGTGGCTCACGCCTGTAATCCAAGCACTTCAGAAAGCCAAGGTGGGCAGATCACTTGAGGTCAGAAGTTCAAGACCAGCCTGGCCAAAATGTTGAATCCCCATTTCTACTAAAAATACAAAAATTAGCTGGGCGTGGTGGTGCATGCCTGTAATCCCAGCTACTTGGGAGGCTGAGGCCAGAGAATCGCTTGAACTCGGAAGGCACAAGTTGCAGTGAGCCAAGATTGTGCCATTGCACTCCAGTCTGGGCAATAGACTCTGTCTCAAAAAAAAAAAAAGAAAAGGAAAAAAAATGAATGCAGTCTACCTTTTATAGCAAAGTTAACATGGTTTGACCCTTTAACATATTTAGTGCTCACTGGAGCACAGCATTGTCTTAGATATCATAAAAAAAATTTTTAAAGTATAAATAATTAATTCTGTCGTTTGGGGTTATAGGAAACAACCAAACAATAAACTAATCTTTTTTACTGATAGGAAAGAACAAATTGAGCATAGTACTGCACACATCAAAGGAAAATAAACATTAATGGGAAGGAGAGTATTCAGAATACCCTTCTTGAAGGAGGTGATCTATAGAGGGATGGTGGAAAGAACATAGAGGGCTCCCAGACAGAGGGAAATGCTGTGAGAAAAGGTCAGGAGGCCAAAATTAACAAGAAGCTTGTTGAGAAATGATACCAACTTGGTTGAACTTGGAAGCCAGCAATGGAGATTTCTTAGAGGTCAGTTTGGTCAGTGGGAAAGGAAAAGTTAAATGTGAAAGATGTTTCATAATCAATGATGACTCTATAACCAGCCAGTCCAACTTCAACTTACAACATATCGCATTCCTGAAAATGTTACCTTACAATGCTGTGTGACATAAAATTAAATAGAACTGGGAGACAGGAGAGGGGAGGGTCTGTTGCTGATTGTCTTCAGATCTTTAAGCACATTATTTTATCTCTGGATCTCATAATATTAGAGTTAGACTAGATGACTTCAAGGTTTTTTTTTTTAACTCTTTAAATTTTACTTGATTCAGCCTTTCAGCACCCTTATGAGGTTCCTCAGTAATATTCGCTGTATTCTGATTGCTTAAATTGAGCCCATGCCGTTAGTCCTTGGCAAATATCCCTCTAGTTGTTTAATATTGATTGACTACCCACAGTGGGGCTCTTAGATTAAGCACACAAAATAGGCTCTGCCCTTTAGGAGTTTTTATTTATCCAAGAGCAGGAATGTGGGTCAGACCTATTTGCATCTCGCTGACTTGGAATCCCATCCAAACACCTCTTGGGAAAACCCAGCACTTTGGGTGGCAATGCTGTAATGTGGTGAAAGAACCCGGACTGAGAATTGGAAAACCTGGTTTTTAGTCCTGACTCACTGTGTGAGTCTCAGAAGCCGATCGTTTGTCAAATTCCTTGAAACCCTTCTGGCAACCATTTTTTTTTTTTTTTTTTTTTTTGATCTAACAGGAAAACCTGAAAGCCAAAAGACTTCTAGTTTGAATTTTAACTCTGGGTGTTCAGGGATAAATCACTTGCCCTCTTTGAGCACCGATTTTTCTCAACTGTAATGAGCGTAATTATACCTACTTTGCAGTAGGTTGGAAGGGTTAAAAGAGATGGCTGTCAAAGTGGCCAGCAAGGCAGACCTGGCATGGAGTAGCCACTAAAATGTTAGCTGAATTGGAATGAAAAATGCAACCTTCCTTAGAAAGATGTGAAGATTCAGAGCTAAACATATTGCTGTTCCTATGGATGCACAAATGCATGAGTTTTGTTGTTACTGCTGTTGTTTCTAACAACAGCAAAGTGATTCCAGTGTGTTGCTTTGGTCTTTAGACCTTGAAGTTAACATTTTAACACTGACATGCTGTAAGACAGTTTTGGGATAGTGACTGTTACGGGTGTGTGTGTGTAAATAGGAATCTAAAACACTCTTTCAACACCCCCTCCCCATATCAATGCCTTTGCAATTAAGTTTATTGAGATTCACATGTCAGAGGAAATATATTCTCACAACCTTTCTTCCCACCACCTCCTTTTGCAGTAAGGCATTAATTTACTTACCAACATTTGATTAAACTCTTAAGGTTCAACCCTAGGAGGAGGTAGCCGTGGACAAAGGATTATTGTCATTCATCATCAACACATTTTAGTCTTCCCCTCGAGTTGCCTATGAAGGATTAGCATTTCCCTGAAAGGAGGAGGACAGAATAAATTGCGTCTACCGCCAAAGAACTGCCAGCTCCTTTCAGCTGGGGGCACATACCGGGAGCTTTTCCCATATTAGTCAGCTTTATCTCAACTTTTGGGCAGTGCCTACATCTGAATTTCATGGGTTTCAGGGTCAGTCAAAACAGAATTGTAGGGCTGTTGAGGTCAGAGGCCACCTCTGTCAAAGAGTAGTGACCTTAACAGCAAGAGGTAGCCAGTCTCCTCCATGCTCCCTCCTCCCCCACCCCAATGACTTCATTCTAGTGAATGCTTGGCTCATTGCACGCCCCCCTGCAGAGCTTTTTTTTCCGACCTGGTAATAAAAATCCTCTGTGACCTGGTATTTTTTTTTTTCATTATTACTGATTTTCTTTTATTCCTGTTTCTCTGCAGAATAACCAAATCTCGGTCATAGATAATGCACTGGTTTGTATGTACATTGGGAAATGACAGAGGGAAAGGTAGTCTGCCATTTATTTACAGTAAGCAGAATGCCACCTCTGGTATAGGGGAAGATCTGGTGCTCAGCTTAGAAACTACCTGCCTTTCTTGAGCACAAAAATTTCCCAGAACTTCTGAAACTCTTTTCCACCCCAGTAGGTTCTATTACCACAGTCAATGTTGGTTTTTAAAACTGCAAAACTGCTTAGGAGAGGGGAATGGAAGTTG